CAGCAATTCCTTCTCCTCTGTTCTCCCGGATCTTGGGCATGCATGCACAAGTACCAATGTGATTTTCAAGCCACCAGGTCTAGGACTCAAACTAGTCCCACTCCGCCATGTGGGACTCCAGTAGAGTTACCACTACGCCATCTGCTGGTCCTGGCCAGCACTTTTTTTTCCCATAATTTAGTTTTTTGGGTTTTTTTTAAATAATGATTTTATTTAACTTTACTTATTTATTTATTAAAATTTGACCAGAAAAGGACAAGGCAATAAAGTGAGAGAGGGAAAGTGAGAAAGAAAGCCACCAGGTTTGGCACTCAAATCACGGGTGGTCATGTGGGAGGGAGTCCAGCACCCCTAACCACCACCCCACCTACCAGCCCCTGCTGGCCAGCACTTTAAAAAAGTCAGTTGCCCCATATTTTAAAGTGAAAGGTTTTACAATTAAAGAATAGTAGTTTTAGCTTCTCTTGAAAAATCTGAAGATTAAGGGCCCGCAGTGGCATAATAGTTAAGGTGCTGGATACCCACATAGTCGACCACAGTGTGAATCCTGGACCTGGTAGCTTTGAAGTTACACCAGGGCACGTGTGCGCATGCCCAGAATCCCTAGAGGAGAGTGGAGAAGGGATTGCAGTGCGGCTATTCCTCCCACATATACCCCCTCTCTCTGTCTCTGTTTCTCTCCAACAAGTACATGTACCCATAGCAAAAATTCTTAAATAAAATGCTCAAACAAAATCAGTATGTTATGGGACCTGAGGAATTTTCTCCAGAGTGGGTTACCCTCAGGTTTGAAGATAGTTAATCCATTTTAGAGGAAAACCTATGCAAAAGTCCTGAAGCAGAGTGAGAGAAACAGGTATGCAAAAACAGAGATGGGGTGGAAATGGTGCTATTCCACAGAAAAAGAATCAAAAGGCAGAGATTAGAATGCAGGCCTTTTCCTGGAATATACTGGTCCAGCAAGCTCTTGGTTGGGGTATTAGGCAGGGGATTTTATTATTATTAATATGCCAGCAGGTTGATGCGGGAGAGAGAAAGAATAGAGAGGCAGAAAACACCCCCCCAAGGGGGCCTGGTCACACAACAATCCTATGTTCTCCAGTTCTCCATCCTACCAGGATCCTGGGCATGGCGACTTTAAGTCACTGGGCCAGGACTCAAACCCTCATAGGCCATGTGGAATCCAGCTTCCTCTGCACTGAGCTTAAGGGCTCTGCTGTAGGGCTGGCTCTGTGCAGGGGATTTTATACTATGAGACCTGGAAGGCTAGACTTATAATGGTTTTGATAGCACACCATTTTTTTAAAAGAATTATTTTATTTATTTTTATTTTAAGTTGACCAGAGAGAGAGGAGAGAAACAAGCCGCCAGGTTTAGGACTTAACCACGGCCAGATATGTGGGACTCCAGCACCCTTAACTACCACACCACCTCCTGGCCCTGATAGCACACCATTTAAAAGAAAAAAAAAAACTTGGGCCGGCAGGTGGCATGGTGGTTAAAGGCGCTGGATTCCCACATGGCCGACCGTGGTTCAAGTCCTGGACCTGGCGGCTTGCTTTCTCACTTTCACTTTCTCTCTCTCTCTCTCTCTCTCTCTGTCCCTCTCTGGTCAAATTTAAATAAACAAATGAATAAATAATAAAGTTAAATAAAATAAAAAAAGAAATCTAAAAAAAAAAAAAAGTACAGTCCAAACTCCAAATTAACACTTATTTTGAAGTTACTTATATGTATAACTATGTTACATACTTTGTAAAAATGTACACAATATAGAAATTCTTTTATAAAAGATTTATTTAGGGGCAGGTGGCATGGTGGTTAAAGTGCTGGACTCCTGCATGGCCAACCGCAGTTCAAGTCCCAAACCTGGCATCTTGGTTTCTCACTTTCTCTCTTTTTGTCTCTCTCTGGTGAGCGTCTGTGTCCTATGGCAGATTTAAAAATAAAATAATGATAAACTAAAATAAATAATTCTTTAAAAAAAGATTTATTTAATTTTATTTGTTACTATTATTTAAAATTTGCTATAGGGCACATGCACTCACCAGAGAGGGAGAAAAAGTGAGAAAGCAAGCCAGCAGGTCTGAGACTTGAACCATTGTTGACCATGTGGGAATCCAGTGACTTAACCACTATACCACCTACTGGCCCCAAGATAGAAATTCTTAAAGATTATGAGAAAATTCAAAATAGTTTATGGAATTTGAGATCTATTAAAATCTTTTCTTAAAAAAAAGAATGATTTACTTTTAATTCTATTTGGTCTTATTATTTTATAATTTTACCAAAGAGAGACAGAAAGAGAAAGTGAGAAAGCAAACCACCAGGTCTGGGACTCAAACCTCAGTCAGCCATGTGGGAATCCAGCACCTTTAGCTACCACCCCACCTGCTGGCCCAGAGATGTTAAAATCTTGAAAGGTACAAACCTGAGGCCTTGGGTTTTATGCCTACACCCATGTCCTGGGTAATTGCTCAGACCACATTATTTTAGTTTACAGTAAACAAACTGAAGTAGCAGAGTATAAATTACACTTGCCAAAGGGTATGTGTGCTACCAGAGAGACAGAGGGAGAAACCTCCCCCTCAATGGGGCATGGTGACATGGCAATCCCCTCTCCTCTTTCTCTCCACCCTGTCCATCGTGTGGGGATCTGACACGCACGCACACACACCCAGCACCTTCTTCAAGTGCAGGGCTGACTCCGACCGCACAGTGGGCCACGTGGGATCAAGCTCCCATCTACCAGGTCAAAGGCTGGCCAGATACCCACCCATCCTTCAACATGATGTCATGCAAGGAATAATGTACGACCAGTCACCCGTGGGTAGACCATGTAATTCTCTATTTAATTTTATGGGGCCGGCAGTGGTATGGTAGTTAAGGGCGCTGGACTCCCACATGGTCCACCACGGTCTGAATTCAGGACCTGGCGGCTTGCTTTCTCGTTTTCCCTCTCTCACTCTGTCCCTCTGGTCAAATTTAAATAAATAAAGTTAAATAAAATAATTCTTTTTTTTTTTTTTTTTTCAAAAAAGACTCAATTTTATTGGGGACCAGCAGATGGCATAATCATAACGTCACTGGACTCCCATGTAACTGACCACAGTTCTAGTCCCAGACCTGGTAGCTTAAAACGCATGCCAGGCACATGTGCGTGCGTGCCCAAAATCTCAAGAGAATGGAGAAGGGACTGTGCGAGTCCAGTGACGCAGCTGTTAAGCCATCTGCTGGCCCGTATTCTCCTATTCCTGTCCTTCTCTCTGTTATATAGAAGAAGCTTACGGGCAGACATTGATGTGTGCTCCCTAGAATCTGTATCACTAGGCTTAGTCCTCAATCCTGGGCCGAACCTTCTCTTGCTGGACCTACTGTGCCTCAGCCTTCCTTTTAGGTTAACAATTAGATATAAAATATATATATATATATACATTCTCTAGTACTAATTTTCTCCCCACACCCTGTGTCTGACATCACACATTTCCCATTGAAGCGGTGAAGCAGGAGCACCTCCATTTTGAACTCTCTATATTGGAAACTTGCTTTTCTCCTTTTCCCTAGAGTAAACAGAGTGATTAACATTCCTACTGTCTTTGCCAAATAACCCAAAACTCCCCACCTTAAGACGTTCCTTGGCGATGTAATAATTGATGTAATAATCAATCGCCAAATCCCTTGCCATGAGCCATGAAGACCATTAAAATGCCATTGTTTGTGTAAGGACTAGAACCCTAAAGATGTCCCAGGTAACAGTGCTTCACTTTGCTTCAGTACAAGTGCTTGCACAAGGTCACTCCTTACCCATGTCTCCCCCTCCTCAATGGTTACTGCTCCCGCCATGTCAACCCTAACGTGGTTTTGCCTTTATAAGCACCCTCTCCTTTCACTGGGGGCTGCAGGGCCTTTGAGAGACATGAGTCCTGTGGGAAGACCAACCTATTAATAAAACGCCAATAATTTGAATATGGATGTCCTCTTATTTCTCGCTGATTAGACTATAATCCCATGTCCCATACACACACCACTTGGGAGGCGCTGACGCAGTCACCAGGAGTTGCTGGACTTCTGTGGGCAGGAGGACCGGCAACAGTTACTGTGTGTGTATACTTTGGAAGGTGAGCCATCACAGGTCGGCAAGTGGCATGGTAGTTAAGCACTGGGCTCCCATGTGGTTAACCATGGTTCAAGTCCCAGACCTGTCTGCTTGCTTGCTTACATTCCCTTTCTTGCTCTCTCTCCCTGGTCAAATAATAAGTAAAATAAAATAAATAGTTGAGCCATCCAATAACTGCGACTGCCCTAGACTGCTTTCCATGTACTACTGCAGGCCTCCACGCCTTACACATAACTCGCTTAATCCCTACTGCTGTAGCTATTATTACTGTCTTCTTTTTTTTTTTTTTGCGAGATTTTTGACATAGGGCACGTGCGCTCGCACGTGAGACAGTAGCAAAAAATCACGCCCCAGGGGGATGGCCTCGCTGCAATCCCTTCTCCACTCTCCTCGCGGCTTTGGGCACGCATGCACACGCGCACACTGTCACACTGTGAATTTCAAGCCACCCTCCGAGACTAGAACCTCAGTCCGCCACGTGGGAGTCCAGCGCCTTCACCATCATGCCACCTGCTGGCTTCAATTACTGTCTTCTCTTAACAAAGGAAACTGAGGCGCGAGGCTACGACATTTTTCTAGGGCCACACAGAAGTTGTGAGCAAGAACTTGATCCCACCTGGCTTGGGTTCACAGTCCACGTTAGCCGGGGCGAGAACTCACCACCCCCAAGCACTCATCTTGCCTGCGGCCGCGTGCGGAAAGCCGATTCACAAGCACAGCCTCAGGAGGCTAAGCAGCCCAGCGCGCAAGCGCAGATCGATGGGCTTGGTTGCTATGGGTTTTCCGGCGAGCCGGTGGAGGAAAGATCTGCTTCCGGCGTCGCGCTGCGAACGTCGCGCTGCGCGCATGCTTTGCGGCCGGGGGCCGGGCTACCGAGCAGTCAGGGCAGCGGCGGCCAGCTGGAAGGCAAGAGCAGTGCGGCGTGCAGGTAGGGGCCGCGTCCGCCCGCGGGGACCCTTAGCCTGCGTTGCTTTTCCCCAGGGCTTCTTAGCACATTTCCCTTGACTTGCTGGGCGTCCCGTTTTCCCAGGCCCGAAGCCTGACCGTGTTTCCTGCTCTCCTAGGCCTCGTCACCCAGCCGGCCAATGTCACCTAAGCCCAGACCCGCCTCTCCCCGCTCGCCTTCCCGGTTGACCTAGCTCTGCAGGACCAACGCTTTGGCCTCTGTTTCTTTTCTCTTTCTTTGTTCTTTTTAAACTCCTTTATTGAGAATGGATTGCCATATAAAAGCAGTATGTTTTAGCCGTGTGTGTGTGTGTGTGTGTGTAGATACATATATATGTACACACATACAGTTTTTTAGAGAGTTTTAAGTGCCTTTCAATGGAAAGGCGAGCCACGCAAAGGAAAGCGCAGTGTCCAGGAGGCAGCAATACGAGTTAGAGGGCGCTGCCAGGCTATGTCTGGGCGGCTGTGTTGGGGACAGTGAGTTCCGGGAGCCACGCTGGGGCCTCATTGCTGTAGGGTGCGTGCGCTGGCCAGAGAGCCAGCAGGTGAGAAATCACAGAAAGCTAGATGGCCTCGCCGCTGCATTCCTCTCTCTGGACTTTGGACACCCATTCATTGGAACCCCAGTGAGTTTTAAGCCGCTGGGACCAGGACTCGAACCAGGATTGATTACGTAGGAGTCCAGCGAAGAAGCCATTACACCATCTGCTGGTCCTGCTTTTTGTATCTTTTAATTTGCTATAGGGCCCTACCCTCACTGTGGAGAGACAGAGAGGAAGGGAAAGGGAGAAAGCACCCAACTAAGGGGGATGGCCATGTCACGGCCCCTTATGTTCTGTTCTCTGGATTTTGGGCACACTCTCCCAACGGCTTTCTGTTTCTTCACCCAAAGTCCACGCTCCTTATTCCAGCTTTCAGCATCTGCCTGATTTTGGGCCTGCCAACTTCTGCAACTCATTTCATTTTTCTTTAACTTTGAAAAGACTTTTTTTGGTTACTTTACTTATTTTTAAGGAATTATTCATTTAATTTTATCATTATTTAATTTAATTTTTCTAAATCACCAGAGATAAAGAGAAACCATTCGCCAGGTCCGGACCTGAACTGCAGTCAGTCGTGTGGGAGTCCAGCATCTCACCCACCATGCCGCCCGCTGGCCCCAGTTTTGGTTATTTTATTAATTGCAGTTCATTTGGTCATTGGTAGGATTTGACCACTCTGGGACTCAAACTGCTGAGCTGGTCATGGGGATCCGACTACCTTAACCTCCATGCCACCTGTTGCCCTGCTCACTTCATTTTTCTCTCTTTTTTTATTTAAGAGATTTTTGCTGTAGGGCATGTGCACTCACCAGAGACAGAGAGAGAGACAAAGTGAGGAGTCACCCCCTGGAGGGATGGCTACGCAGCAATCCCTTCTCCTTTCTCCTCTCGGGATTTTGGGCATATAATCACATGAGCCTGGCATGAGTTTTAAAACACCGGGTCTGGGACTCGAAGTGCAGTTGACTGTGGCAGTCCAGCAACATAACCATTATGCCATCTACTGATTCCTCATTTCCTATTTCTATCCAGCGTGCTTCTGCCCCTCTGAGGTCTCAGTGTCCCCCAGACATAGCCTGTATCTCCTAACTATTGCCGCCTTCTGGACACTGCACCCTTTCTTTCGCTTAGCTCACTTTTCCGTTTACAGGCATCTTCAAGTCGTCTGGGTGGAGTTGTTGCCTCCTCTTTGGAGCTCTTGCCGGTGGTGTTCCTCCCAGTGGGTTCCTGATTCCCATTTGTGTCTCTAGTGCTTACCTTGAACTGTGTCTGTACTCTAGCTCACTGCCTGCTACATAATTACTCAGTAAATGGCTGAAAGAATGAGGAGAAACTTTAGAAATTAAATTTGGGGACTGGCAGGTGGCGTGGTGGGTAAGACACTGGACACTCCCACATGGCCGACCATGGTTTGAGTCCCAGACCTGATGGCTTACTTTCTCACTTTCTTCTCTCTCTTTCACTGTGTCTCTCTCTGGTCAAATTGAAATAAATGAATGAATAGATAAAATTGAGTAAAATAATTCTTTTTAAAAAAAAAAGAAATTAAATTCACCCATAATCTACCATGAAGGCATTTTACATTAGCATTTTTGTATATGTTAATGTAATTTGTATATGTGCTTTTTTCCCAGTCTTATGCAGTTTTTCTTCGGTATTACAGTTTCTTTTGTTAACATTTTAATGTATTTTCCATGTATATTGGCCTTTTTTGCTAGTATCTGTCATGTTCTACTAAGTGGATACCAAAATTTGCCTATTTCTTTATTGTTGCACATCTAAAGTGTTTGAAATTTACTCTCAGCAGTTACTGACCCCTGCTTGGTTCCTGCCCTCCAAGCATCCATTGTCCAGTTGGAGAGAGACACATGAACAGCCTATTACACGGTGTGCAAACTCCCGTGGAGGATGCTGTAAGGGCAGAGATGGGACAGCAGGTTCAGCATGGCTTCCCTGAGAAGTGTCATCCAAATTGATAAAGGAAGAATGGATAAAAAAATGTAAAGAAATGCGGGGTCCAGCAGGTGGCGTGGAGGTTAAGGTGCTGGACACTCCCATATGGTCGAATACAGTTCAAGTCCCAGACCTGGTGGCTTGCTTTCTCACTCCCCCCCCCCCATCAAATTAAAATAAATGAATGAATAAATAATATTTTTTTAAAAAGGAAAATGTAAAGAAATGTTTTGGGCTCATTTTCTTTGGATCTTTTTTGAAGAATTAGGATTATTAAGTACAACATACTCTTTTTAAGTTTTTGATTAAAAAATTACCTTATCAGTATAGAGTTGATTTTTTGCAGTGTTCTTGATTCTAGTTCTATTTACCTTGAGTTTTGTGAAAGCACAAAAATTGCTCATATACCGTAAAGTGAAAGAACTCTAGCGAAAAGGTTTGGTGAGAAGAAATTGAAAGGATAATGTCTAACAGCTTTCTAGAAGAGTATTGGTCATGACTTACAATCTCATTTTTCCTTAGAACTTTCTAATTTGATGACACTGTTGAGGCATCATTTTTTCTTTTTCTTCCATTACAGTCATGCCTTTCCTTGATGTGCAGAAAAGGCTGGGCATTAACATAGATCGCTGGATGACCATCCAGAGTGGTGAACAGCCGCACAAACTCACATCTCGATGCCACGCTTTTGAAAAGGAGTGGATAGAATGTGCACATGGGATCGGCAGTATCCGGGCAGAGAAAGAGTGCAAGCTAGAATACGATGACTTCATAGAGTGTATGGTTCGGCAGAAAACGGTGAGCAGGTGATGGAAGTGGGGGCTGAATGGCTTTCTTGTTGCATTGGGGTACACTTAAGGGCTTTTTTTTTTTTTTAAGAATTATTTATTTTATTTAATTAAATAATTTATTTTTTATTTGACCAGAGAGAGAGGGAAGGTGAAGAGCAAGCTGCCAGGTCTGGGACTCGCACCACGCTCTGCCATGTAGGAATCCTGTGCCTTAACCGCCATGCCACCTGCTGGTCCCACAGCTAAATGCTTTTAATTGACCAGTGTGCAGTGGCTTGCCCAAGTAAATTAGCGAAACTTTTGTGGTGAAACACCTTCTCTGCTTAGGTACCATGACAGGGAAGTTAAAAGCTCTCAGATCCAAAGAGAGCCTGTTGTTCCACAATATTTTTCCTCATCTCCCAGGTTTTCCCAGCATCGTACCCTCTTGTAGCCACCAGCTTAGAAAATGCATGTGTGCATATGTCCTTTTTGTTTTAGATGTTTTTGCCACAGGGCGTGTGCGCTCGCCAGAAAGACAGAGAGAGACAGAGAAATTGAAAGCAAGAAATCACCCCCCAGGGGAGATGGCCACACCGCAATCTCTTCTCCTCCATTCTCCTCTCAGTATCTTGGGCACACACGCACATGTGCCTGGCATGAGTGTAAGCCACCAGGTCCGGGACTTGAACCACAGTCGACTACATGGGAGTTCAGCGACATAGCCATTACGCTAACTGCTGGTCCTATGTCCTTTTTTTTTTTGGAGAGGATTTTTTTGCTATAGGGCGCGTGCGCTCGCCAGACAGACAGAGAGAGAGACAGAAAACGAGAAATCACCCCCCAGGGGGGATGGTCACGCCACAATCCCTTCTCCTCCATTCTCCTCTTGGGATCTTGGGCACGCATGCACACGCGCCCGGCGTGAGTTTTAAGCCACCGGGTCCGGGACGCGAACCACAGTCGACTACGTGGGAGTCCAGCGACATAGCCATTACACTAACTGCTGGTTCCCCCTATTTCCTTTTTTAATAGGCTATGAAGCAAAGAATATGAGCCAGCTTTGGATAGTTGTCCTTGAAAATCATTAGGTGAAAATATTTCAGATTCATTAAACCCTCATTGGAGGAGAGGTGACAACCCTGCAGATCTATGACATTGAATGTAATATAACAATCCAAAGGTTCATTTCCACTTTGGGGAAGATGGGAGTGTTAGTGAGATTGCTTTAGAAGAGCCTGACCAAAGTTGCAGAGGAAAAAAAGAATGTTAGCAACCTAATGTTTGTCTTTTTTAAGAATTAAATAAATTGTATAATGTACATTCTGTTGACCCTTACAGATAGTACAGGCTAGCAGGGCTAGCGGGAGCGTGGTAGTTGAGGCACTAGACTCCCACTTAGCAGACCACAGTTTGAGTCCTCGATCTGGACGCTTGCTTTCTCACTTTCCCTCTCTCTTTCTCTCTCTCTGGTGAGCACCTGTGTCCTATAGCTAATTTAAAAAATAGTAATAATAAATAAAGTTAAATAAGTAATTCTTTAAAAACAAACAAAGATAGGGAACCAGCAGTTAGTGTAATGGCTATGTCGCTGGATTCCCACGTAGTCGACCGCGGTTCGTGTACCGGACCCGGTGGCTTAAAACTCACGCCGGGCGCGTGTGCGTGCGTGCCCAAGATCCCGAGAGGAGAATGGAGGAGAAGGGATTGCGGCGTGACCATCCCCCCTGGG